CACCCCCTCCACCCCCTCCCCCAGCTGTCGTGTACGAGGAGGACGGGTTGTGCCCCCATCTGATGACAGAGTTACGCCGCATCATGTTCACACAGAACGGACCACGAGAGGCCGCCTCTGTCATCTTCACCGCTCAAAACAGGACGTCATTGGGAGCTGATCTTAGCAGGATAAGACATCTCACTAGAAGTAGGTCATACAATAAGCCAGAAATAGGTCGTCAAAAGTAGGTCGTCCAATAAGCTAGAAGTAGGTCATCTAATATATCAGAAGTAGGTCGTCCAATAAACGAGAAGTAGGTCGTCCAATTAGTCAGAGGTAGGTCATCTAATATGTCAGAAGTAGGTCAGCCAATTAGTCAGAAGTAGGTCGTCCAATAAGTCAGAAGTAGGTCATCCAATAAGTTAGAAGTAGGTCATCTAATATGTCAGAAGTAGGTCAGCCAATCAGTTGTAAGCGCGTGCTTAGCATGAGATACAATGTGACAATCAGATAGAACAGCTGGTTTCTGATCCCGTTATCATAGTGACTCAAAACGGCCCAAAATGTCAGACAAAACTTTGTAATTTTAAGGTAGCAAATATCAGCAGCCATCAAACTATCAAACTATGATCCACAGATGTAATATATCCCACTATCTCTGTCTTTGCCCCAACAACAGCCGTTCTTCCCCAAACATCAACAACTATCAAACTATGAGACATTCAAACTGTGATCCATAGATGTAGTTCATCTAACTGTCTCTGTCTTTGGCCCCTTCCAAACAGCCGTAGTCCTATGCATGTCCTCGGAGTCTCTGGAAGTTCTGATGGCCAAGGCCGACAGCCTGGGAATGACGTCAGGCTACTACGCCTTCCTCTACCTCAACTTTGACCTCAGGCCCGTGGTGGCGAGCCTGCCCAAGAAGAAGCAGAAGAAAGATTTCTCTCCCTTCCTCCTGGAGCTGGGGCACTTCCCCGGGCTGGAGAAGCTGGTCAGTGGGAAGTCCAACAAGGGGGTCAGGAAGAGAGAGGCCAGGCGGCGATCTGAGGGCTTTGTGGAGACACAGGTCAGATTGTGTGTGTGTGTGTGTGTGTGTGTGTGTGTGTGTGTGTGTGTGTGTGTGTGTGTGTGTGTACGGAGAGGGGGTTTGTCCCGCTTGTTTCATCACATTTCATTCAATCTTTACTTTATTCTGTCTATCATTCCTTCATTCTCATTAACAATAGATAGCATTTGTACAGCACAGATTCCCGCTCAAAAGCAAGCTCCGTGCGGTTTACAATCTGTACTGTTTCCCCAAGAGACCTGATAACATTTTGAAACAATCTCAACTTCCTGGGAAGCATACGATGCATACATTTCATTCGCCTAGTTTTTATGTGTTCATTATTGCAAAAAATATTCAGTTCCACCTTGGTTTCTTCATTTGCTAATTCTTGATATCCATGAACTAACTAAACAGCTGGGTGGGTGATTGAGTTATGGAGCCAGTCAGAGTTGATTCACTGATTGTGGTCGGCAGAAATTATTGTCATGTCCAACCCACCACTTATTGTAAACAGCAGTCAGTGGCTCAGAATGTGATGCTTTTCTTTTTTTTTCCTTCTTTTTTTTCTTGGGTTTTTTTTGTCAGGATGTTTTTAGGTGGACAGGATGACAAGGTAGAATTATGTAAGGTCTGTCATTATGGATAAGTAAACTCTGAAACCAAACAGCGTGACTCCTACCCCAGCCCCATTTTCCATTTTTTCCGGTGCTCTGCAGTTAGCCACACAATAAACATCAACGATTTTGGAGCCTTTTTTTCCCAAAGAAAATTTGTAATGTAATATGACAATGTGTTTTACTCTCCCATCGACACACTTTAAATCGTTTAGGAAGCGGGCTCCGACCCCACATACCAGGGCTCAGAGGATTACAACGCCCCAACAAAAAAACTCGATAAAAATTCTGTCCAGTCTGAAATGGAACTCAGGTCCTTTTTTATGTGAGACGGCGAAGTGTCTACCCGCTCCACCACAAACGTCAGATCCCTCGAAATCTGACACGACGTACAAACTCCAACACAAGTTAAGGACCACCTTGACAGACAACACTGATTTTACAAAGTCCCAAAAAAGACGCCAAGGAGTGTTTAAACAATCTTTGCTCTGAAAGTGTTAACAGGTTGCCAATGCGTACTGCAAAGCTTCCTAAACGGGCAAAATCACCACGTGCAGCACGGAAATCTTCGAGGAATTTTAGCCAAATTTGCAAGTGGTCCTTAACCTATGTTGAAGTCTGTAGATCTATGTTTTTGTGTGGGTGGTTGGCGGGTGCTCGGGTGTGGTTTGCTTCTTCTTTCCTATCAAACATCTATGGTCTTTATCTCCCCTTCTTATTTTTTATGTTTGTCACTCTTGTAACACCTCTTATCTTCAGGCGCTCATATGACCTTATGCAGTTGCGAGCGCCGTAAAACCTCTACTAAAACTAAAAGTGTTTTTCGTTTGACAGATCAAGCTGTGTCCCTACCTTCACGACGCCATCACACTCGCCGCCATCGCCTCACACTTTGACAGGAGGAAACTGCCGCTGAGCAATTTCAACATCACAGGTAACTTAAGAGGTTCTAAACCATCACGTCTGTCTGGTAAGATTAATGATAATAATAATAATAATAATAATAATAATAATAATAATAATAATAATAATAATAATAATAATAATAATAATGATAATGATAATAATAATAATAATAATAATAATAATAATAATAATGATAATAATAATCATAATAATAATGATGATGATGATAATAATAATAATACATTTTAAAAATGATATTAATAATAATAATAATATTAATTAAAATAATAATAATGATAATAATATCAATAATAATAATTATTATTATAATCATAAATATGATCTTTAATAATAATAATAATAATAATAATAATAATAATAATAATAATAATAATAATAATAATAATAATAATAATAGAAATAACCACAATAAGAATAATAATTATCATCATCATAATAATAATAATAATAATAGATTGCATTTATATAGCGCTCTATCCCATACTAGTATAAGCTGTGAGCACTTTCCACCAATCACAAAATCATTCACACTAGAAAAAGTATTTCACAGAAACAAGAAAAACCAGTTCAGCCACATAAAGAAGAACTTTCACAACCACACATTAACTATGTACACGAAAGGACAGCAGTAAAAAAACAGAACAAAGAAACAAACTAACGTATCAGCACTTACTAACAGACTATAACTAAAAATTCAACAAATGAGTCTTGCGATACAATGATAGGTGTAAATGATTACAGTATTGTCTTGCCCATAGAGCTGGGTTTTGGAGTATTACCTATGAGATTTGTTGATATCAAAAGGAGCGAGCTACCGAAAAGATTGCTCAGGGGCAATTTCAGCACTACAGGTAACAAAACCCTCATATCAACCTGGTTAGATTATGGCAGGTGTAAATGATTACAGTGTTGTCTTGCTCTTATAACTTGGTTTTGGAGCTCGACCTATGATATTTGTTGATATAAAAATAAGGGCTAGCTTCAGAAAAAATAACAGCATACTGATAGACTAGCATTTTTCGAATTCAGAATTCTTTATTCTATCACTACTATGATAATACACCGACTTGTCAATCCGGTGTAGATTTCTAAAACACTATAGGTAGTCCTTCGTTGGCGAAGATGATGACAAAATCCTGCAGCTCATCTGTGGACGCGCATGTGGCTGTGCAATCCGATCCTGGATGTACAATGTCTGTTGCAGTGGGGACACTGGAATGTCGTGGTTGTGGCGGTTGGATTATGTCTCCTCTCTCTTCTGATAGTCAGCTTCTCCCTGTAGTTTGTATCACTGTTTCTTCTGGCAAGACGGACGGCCCTGCGCCAGGCGTTCCTTTCGGTGGCGGTTCTTTCGAGTGCTTTGGGGGTAGCCTGTGCAAACTGACGGTTTTCCTTTATCGTGTCTTTGAAACACATACTAGCAATTTATCAACCCACAAATATTTAACTCGCTTCTTTCCTTTTTAACACACGAGCCATAAATCAAACTACTAAACCTTAACTCGCTTTTGACCTTTTTAACACACTGGCAAAGAACCAAACTACAAATATGTAGCTCTTTTCTTTGCTTTTAAACACTCTGGCAATGAATCAAACTACAAATATTTAACTCATTTAACACCCTGGCAATGAATCAAACTACAAATATTTAACTCATTTAACACCCTGGCAATGAATCAAACTATAAAAGCTTTACCATTTTTTGCACTGTCTCTCCTGCCCCCCCCCCTCCCAGCCAGCCACCTGAGGACCGGGTCTATCTACATCGACGAGCAGGGAATCCGGAGAACCACTCTGTCCCTGGTCCACTCCCAGGCCGGCCTGCTCACCACCGTGGCCAGACTGACCCCTGACCTCCAGTTTGTCCCGGTCACGCCCCTCCAGTGGTCCGGCGGGTCACTTCCGGTGTCAAAACTGAACTGTGGGGCGCCGGGGAACTCGTGTGAAGGTCAGTTGTCGGAGATTTCATCAAGCTACTATGTGTTATCTCTTCAGCAAGCCGTTACAATGCACAACTTAGGCCACAACCAGGAGAGGTTATAAGAAAGGTCCTTGCCCAGAACGGAAAACACTTCAGGAGAGAGAGAAAGACAGAAAAAACACATTCAGTTGTGTAACAATTGTAGCTACTGTATATAGCTTTACTCGTTTTTATCAACATTTTATGTTTAAGTTTTACGTGTAGTAAGGTTTTACGGCGCTCGCAACTGCATAAGGTCATTTGGGCGCCAAGGGGTGGGTGTCAACAGAGAAGTCCTTACAGGGAATCAGACTTATTCTGCTCACCTCCCTAGCCTCAACAGCACAAAGTCTGCTTCGACTATCAAGGCACCCCGGAAATAACAGTTCACAAGAGAGTGACAAACATACAAAAGAAGTAGAGGAAAATGATGATAGTAAGGATGAGGAAAGAAAAAGCAACAGTTCCCACTATGTTGTTCCGTCACAGTATGATAAATCAGCCCATTTACAATTCTACCCTGCATAAGAACATGTTACTGTCCCCCCTTGTCAGCGTTCAGAACGATAGAATAGTGCTAAGGGTGCAACATAATAATAATATAATGCTCTTACACCCGTCTCATTGTTCTATCATCCTTATCTCTCCTCCTTGATTTCTATGTACGTTACTCTCTCGTTGCACCTCTTTTCTTCGGTACTTATATGACCTATCTGTGTTGCATGCGCTGTAAAACTCTTACTAAGACTAAACTGAACTTAAGCATTATCTTCGTCATCATTTTCATTATCATCACCATCATTGTTCTGTTTTCAAACTAACATAAGAATTATGTCATGACTTTTATTTGTCCGTGAATTGTCAAGTTTTCCTTCCGTAAGTTAAGATTTAACCCTATCCGTACGTCGTGTTTTACTATCGTATCCATACGACGTGGGAAACTCTGTACCACCACTTTCCAAAGAGAAAATTGACTCGTTAATCCGATCCGTACTCTTTGCATAGCAGTCTGTCGAAACGAGTTTTTGAGAAATACTGAAAGTTTCAAAGAGATCTTCGTACTAGTAGTATTCTAAAATGTAAAGAATACAACCCCGGGGTGCAAAATGACCCCTGGGCGTACGGATAGGGTTAAACAGAAAGTTTCAACTCTTTCGTCTACACAAATTATCGTTGATGTGAACTTATTTGAAGGGCCTACATGATATCACTTCTCGTGAACATTTCAGACATGGCGGTGATCGCAGCTGGTGTGGTGGTTGGGGTCCTGGTGTTGGTGGCTGTTCTGGCAGCTGCTGTCTTCTTGTACAGGTGGGTCGGTGGCTGTGTCTTGTGTGTGTGTGTGTGTGTGTGTGTGTGTGTGTGTGTGTGTGTGTGTGTGTGTGTGTGTGTGTGTGTGTGTGTGTGTGTGTGTGTGTGTGTGATAGGGGTGTTGTGTGTCTTGTGTGTGTTTGTGTGTGTGTATGTGTGTTTGTGTTAGTGTATATGTGTTTGTGTGTGTGTGGGGGGGGTGTATATGTCTGTGTGTATGTGTGTGTGTGTTTCATTCCTATATTATCTTGTTCATTCATTCCCAGACTGTTTGGTCAATAAATATCCATCCTATCCCCTGGGACGGTGCTACTGACAAGTGTCTTTAAGCTATTCCCAAAGAGGGAACATTAATAATATTATATTAATAACATATTATGTTCTTATGCACAGTAGAATTGTAAATTGTAAATGGGCTGATTCATTAATGTCATGTTCATAACTGTGCCTGAACAGCAACAGGGAAGTGCTGCTTTTTCTTTCCTAATCCTTACTATCGTCATTTTCCCTCTACTTCTTTTGTGTGTTTGTCACACTCTTATGACCTGCTATTTCCGGGGTG